ACAAACTATGTAATGAAAGATTTTTAAAAAAATAGTTACATTTTTAATGAATGCACAGGCACGTACATAACAGTTTCCCTTTTTTGTTTCTTGGATAACCAGGCCTAAAGTTACTTGCTATCAAGCACTCCTTAAAGAGAAAGTCTCCTGACCTTTACTATAAAGAATTTGAGTTTTGTTTTCTATAGAGACAAATTTAGTTAATGAAAAGAGCATTCCATTTTAAAAGTATCTATGTTAGTTGTTAAGGCTTTTATTTTCTAAGACATGTCCTTCTCATGCTTGCTCTTAGTCCAAAACTTAAAAACCTAGATCAGACTTATTTAACCAAATTATAAGAATGCAAATCTTTTTTAAAAAGTGTGTTACTTAGTACTTCAAGGAACTTTTTTGATATTTTTACTTGATACGTTAAAAAATAGCTTGGCATTAACTTTTTAGGTTTCATCTAAAGAATCATATTTGGGTTAAAAAATTATGAAACTCACCCTGTAATTTTTACACTAATTAATTTTCACATCTAATTAAGTATGTACTTTCAGCATTCTTATTCTGGATGTATTTTTCTACCCTTACCAAATTAATCTTGATGGGGTTTTTCAACTGACAGCAAGAAAGGAGTTTAGAGACTTGCATCCTTTTAGTTTGGCATTTCATTCACTTTTGGGAATGTTAACATGAATTCAAAGAAACATAAAATTACAGATATAATATTTTTTTATAGAAGTCAAAGAATTTTTTTGATTATACTATTAGATTCAAGACATTGCTTTACATTGTCAAGAAGTCACAATCATAAAATATAAAGAAAGTAAAATAGACTGGCTTGATAAATTGGGATTATTTTACTTTGTTTTATATTGGTTTGCTTATGAAGTTCATATACACTGTCCTTTACACTATTCATCATTCACATTGTGTTCCATACAATCACTCTCATGCATTATGTTTTACAGATAAAATTTTTACAGTAGAGCCTTTCAACTCATGGAAGCAGAAATTACCAAAATGCATGTATACCTAGTTATGAGTTGGTAAATATTTATTTTTCTGTTCTTAAGCATCAAAATTTCTTAAAATTTCTGTCTTTATAAAGTGAAAGTCAACATATATAGCCCTCCAAAGTTGGATATGGAACTATTTATTATATTTTATGTAGATAAATTAAGATGGTTTTAACAAAATTAGGAACTATAAAAATTATTTAGGTGTAAGAAGATTTAAAAAGATGGCTTTTTCAGTAAATGAATTTTTTATTATATTTTTCAGTTTATAGGTATGTCAGAACATTTTATTAAGTAGCAGTACACTGAGCATAGAAATATCTGACAGTTCATATAGAATGCAATTCCTGTTTGAACTAGGAGTTTAAGGCAAAACTAGAAAGTGGTAGTGTTTTTATTATTTACAAATTTCTGGTAAAGAGCTAAGCAAGAATAATATAAATCCAAAGAAAAATTTGATGTAACTATGAAATAATCACTATAGCCATCAATACAGCTATTTTAGCATCATCTCAGCACATAACATATTTATATATGCCATAGTATTTAATTTTGTGTATTTATTAAGTTTTTTCTATGTTCTTACAGATGGCTTATGTATTTATAGTCCTTCCTGCAATAAATGGTTAAGTTTCTTGACAGGTAACAATTTTATTATTCTTCTGTTAAGTCTACTACCATGTCCTATAAAATAAAAATAAATGGCACAAACTAAGATTAAATACCTATATCAAGTAGAAAGAGTATCCCATGAAATCTAAAAAAGAAAAACCAAAAACCAACCAACCCCCAAACCCCCCCCAAAACCTCCACAACAAAAGCCACCAAGGAAGCAATGTGGACACTGAAGTGGATTCAAACCTGGACCACACAATATCAATTCCAGTGTACAGAAATAGAGTCAGTTCTTGGCTGTTGTTTCTCTGACCACCTTTCCTTTAAAAGATTCTGCTAGTCTGGTTCAGTGCCTAGGTTTCCTAGGTCCAAGAGGCTATCTGGAAACACTTTTGTGACACATCTAAAGTCTAGGAGAAGAGCTAAAGCACATAAAGTATTTCAATATCATGAAATGTTAAATAAATGACACAAATCTAGAAGGAGATAATAGTTTCTGTTATGTCCAACCTAAGCGTATATACTACAAGGAATTCTGAATTCTCTATGGCCTCCTTCTTCCAAAGTCTTTTTTCCTTCTCCACCCCCACCTTGTTGTGTATTGTTGAATTGGATCTGACTGGCACAGGAGACTGCCCCTCCTTCTCCAGCAGAGCACGTGGTGGATTTGAACTATGTGCCTTCAGGATTCCAGCACAGCTTCTTGCCACTAGGCCACCAGAGCTCCCTAAAAGTTTTTTTTGTTGAACCATTAAAAAAATAAAAAATCCTAAAACGTTGTATGTAAATACACAAATCAAGTCAGTGGATTATATATTTGGGGGTAGGGCGTGGGGTTTGGGGAGGTGTGGGGGGGATTGTGTACCAATGAGGGAGTTTTTCTTTTGCTTTTCAAGGAGAGGAGCAAAGGGGTAGGGGGGGGAGGGGGGAGGGGTTTGTGCAGGGAGAAGGGTGCAACAATGAATGAATGGAATTCCAAAATCTCTGTAGATGTTCATTGAAATGAAAAATAAACAAACTAAATTAATAAAAAAAATTTTATCTTTCACTTGTCGTATTGTGTTTAGCTACTTCCACACATAAAGAAAAAAGAACATATGTTCATATATATAAATGGACAGCTATGAAGTACATGCTTAAATTAGTTATAATAGTCTTCTACCATTTTTGGCAGGGGAAGGAATCAAGCATTTAATTTTTAGATTATGCTAAACCTGCTAATCTTACATTCATATGTCAAGTGGTAATGATATTCTAAGAGAAGTTCTTTGGGTAGAGAAAGAAATGGAACTAAGTTTTCCTTCTACAAAATATATTCTGAGAATGCTGAGGACTAACGAGTGACAGATATGGGGAAGATGTTTTGTTATGAGACTAGAAACACAAGGAATGACTATTTGTTTTATATGTAAGATAGTGCCATTGTGAAGCACACATTTCCCAAATATGGTATCATGGATAGGAAGACAAATATCTTTTCTTACTTAAGAAAAGGCAATTTTATTTAGCTGTAAACTAGAATGTCGAGGACTTTTGTTTGACTTCTGTAAGTTTTTATGGCAACAATTAATCTTTATGTAATTTCTTTTTAATTTAAACTAATTATATAGAATATCCTGATTGTCTAAAACAGTTAAAATTTATTTAGCTCTTTCTATGTAAGTCAGGCTCTGTGATAAGTAATTCTAGGTAACTACAACCCAATTGTATAGAGAAGGAAATGGAACCTTAAAGAGACACTTCAATTTGAATGAAGAAATACAGCTAAGAATGAGTGAACCCATGTCATTATGCTCTTGGCTACTAACAAGAAGGCTTTCTTCAGTAAATGAATTTTTCTATTATATTTTTCAGTTTATAGGCATGTCAGAATATTTTTTAAGTAGCAGTACACCAAGCATAGAAATATATTACAATTAAAATAGAATGTAATTCCTGTTTGAACTAGGAGTTGTTTTTGGTTTTTTTTGAACTAGGAGTTTAAGGCAAAACTAGAAAAGTGGCAGATTTTACAATGAAAGATGGCATTAACAACAGAAGTCATTTTCTAGAAACACAGAATGCAATATACATTAGAAGATTTTATCGAATGAAAAGAAACATACTTGTGAACACATTAAGTGAAATATTAAGAAACCCTCATGTGAACCTATTAACAATTCAATACTCTGTTGTATCTACAATGTTTGTTAACTCATACAATTTTCATTTCCTAAATTGAGGAAATTTGCAGGAATCAGAGAAAATTATTTTTTCAGAGAAAGAAAAAAAATCACATTACCTTATTTTCAGGTCAAAAGAAATATAATCTTAAGAAAACTACTAAAAATATTGATAAATTTTGTGTACAAAAAAATTTGACAGCTAAATACGATCTAGAATTCATAAGTAATCTTTTGTTCATTCACAAAATTCCTTATCCTTTTTATTTAACTTGAGGAGTAAGGCCCAGGGCTGGAGCAATGAAGCAATGAACAAAGAACAATGAGGAATTTTTATTTCCTTCTTACATAGACTGCTAAAAGAATGTAATCTGTGAAATAATTGATAATTTATTCTCTTCAGTTTATATGACAGAGAAACTCTAAGAAGCAATAGTAGTTAAATGTCAAACAGGAGAAGTCTCCCTATGTGACTCTAAACAAAAGCTTGTGAATTGTTTTTCATACTTTATATTAATTAAAATTTACCAACCTATCACCAGGTCCTGCTCGGTACCTTGCCCCTGGGATGAGGACTGGGTCATCATCACTGTCGTCTGTGTCCTGGTGGGCAGAGTCCCTGGTAGATGTTTCCTCATGAACTGACGGGCTGATGGCTTCTGTTTGGGACTGAGGCTCAGGACTGGTGGTACTGGGATTGGCAGCACTTTCAGTGCTAAGTTGATTTGAGGTTTCTAGTTCATTGCCTTTTTCAGACAAAGTGGATTCTTCAGGAACCCCACTAGAGTTGTCAAGATTGAGGTCATTTCTTTCTCCTGAGCTGGAATCCAATGGCTCAGTTGTCAAATTATCTGATTGTGCTGTCAGAAAATAAACCAGTAGCAGCTGGTCATGTGGAGATTATTTAACCTCTAGAACAGACTTTGAAAAGTGAAAATGTTTTCTGTTATAAAGTCTAATTCCCTTTGAAAAATAAAATACAAAACACCTCAAACTGATTGCCTTTGAGTCAGAACAACTCATAGCCAACCCTCCATGGATTTTCAGAGGCTGTATCTGCACAGGAGGAGACTGACTGTCTTTCTCCTGCAGACCAGCTAGATGGTTTATTTCACTCTGGCAGACAGGCATGGCCTTTGGGATGTTGTTATGTACTACTGAGTTGGTACCAACCCATAGGTGACTCTCCAGCAGGTTTTCAGAGGCAGTAAACTGCATGGGAGGAAAGTGCCCACCTTTCTCCTGTGGAGCAGCTGGTGGATTCAAGTTGGCATGCCTTTGGGTCAAGTTGGCATGCCTTCGGGAGTGGCAGAGCAGCTCCTTACCACTAGGCCATGAGAGCTCCCTGACCTTTGGGTAAGCAGCACAAATTCCAATACACATCTATTTGAAAATGGCCTGATTCTGGAGCAACAATTATAGTCTCAGTTTAAGGAACTCTCTAAAGAGCAAGATTACTCACCTATATCTATTGAATGTTCTGCAGACGTGTCTTCCTGATTCTGTGCTGCATCTTCAGATGATGCTTCGGGAGCTTATGGAGATAAACCAGATCATCATCAAATTCAAAGTTATATAGAAGAGTATACACCAACTTCTTATGGCAGCTTTTTTTTTTAGGAGTAAATGGTTCTTAAATCCTTCTGGGCCACAAAAGGTACAGATACATAAACTCCTTAACCCCAACACAACTCAAATCTGTATTTGTACACAAAATTGTATCAATACTATGTGGGATTGGATAGACAGTTAATTATGTCCATGGCGTCTTCTCAAAGTCCATGCAAGGACTTTCTTAAAATCTTTGTAAAAAATCTTTAGATTGTTCCTTATAGTTGACATTTCTGATCTTACCTTTCTTCTAATATTCATAAACTTTGAACTTAAAACTGAGTCCTCTTTTTCCCCATTCTCATGTGTGCAGCAGGATCTAAATTATCATAAACAGTAAAATGGTCCTTCTATAAACTGTTCTGGTCCCACATAATACTTACTGGTGGGTTTTTAGTGCAAGAGCCATGAAAGATCAGCTGTTTTTGTTCCTAATTGGACATCTGCTTACCAGAAAGTTGTCTTACACATATTTAATTCTTACAAATCTGTTATGCTATTATCTATTCACTTGAAAGGAAATAAAATATATATTTTTAAAAGTTTCTTATCAAACAAATAGGTATGCCTTAGTATGTCAAGAGATTTTTTTTTTAAGAATTAAGTATGTGTAAGAAAACTTTTTTGGCATATAAATGCCTAATTAGAAGCAAAAAAAGTAATTTTATTTCTTTTTTCACTGAACATTTACTGTGTTCCAGGCTCTCTTATGTAAAGGTTATTTAAAAGGGTTCTGAAAAACAAAAATCCTTAAGGGGCATTTAATGTATGAAACAGTATTCCCTCATAACCTTAGATTTTATTTCTTCCTTTCTGCTCCCCACAGCTTCAATAAATCACTTTCTTTGAAAAAAATAATAAGGATGATAAACAGATTCATCTTGGAGAGGATTAAACCAAGCTACTCCTTGGAGGCAAGGATTCTGGGGCTTCGTCAGACATACTTTGGGCATGTTGCCAGGAGGGACGGGTCCTTGGAGAGGGACATCATGTTGGGAGGATGGAGGGATAGCTCAGGAGGGGAAGACCCTCTATGAGATGGATTGATTCAGTAACTGGGGTAATTGGGATGGGTGTGTCAGAGGCAGTGTGGTTGGCGCAGGATAGAGCAGGGTTTAGGGCTGTTGTGCACAGGGTCGCTATGAGTCGCAAACGACTCGACGGCACATAACAACAACAACAACATATTTATAGTGCAAGAATAACTTACTGTGTTGTGTCTACAAAGAGGAACTGTGGTGCTTTACTATTTATTCCCTTTCTTAACCGCACATATTCCCTGTCTGCTGTATCTACTCTCTATCAGCACTAATATCTTGGCTATTATGGTGAAATTAATTGTTTAGAAAGAAGAAACAAAAACATAGAACAGAAAAATAAGTGAATGTGTGGCACTGAGTTTTGTAGTAACAAAAGCAAAATAACAACTTACTTGTTTCATTCTCTCCTTTTGGAGCGTGCATGGAGCTTGGTGAGACCAAGGATTCTTCCTGGCCTTCAGCTTTGCAATGGCTTCCATTTCCTCTAGAACTTGAGGCTGTACTGCTCCTATATCAAGAGAAGTGTTTTCACCAAGAACTTGATAAATATGAACCTTTAGGATAATTACTGTACTTCACAGCTATATAGCTGAATAAAAAAATTTAGACTGCAAAAAATATTATTTTGACACTATTTGCACATTTATTTAAAGAATCAAGATGACTATTCTTAACATACTAGTTTTTTAAAAAATTAAAAATATAAAAGCTGCTTTTTTACTGCTGAATGTTGCTAATATCTATAGATCCTCTCAATGAATTTTAACCAATTACATTTACACTTCTGTCCTTCCTACAAAAACCTCTGGTGGCCTAGTGTTAAGAGGCTGTGCTGCAGTCCCAAAGGCACGCAGGGCAGTCTCCTCCACTGCCATCTACTGCCTCTGAAAACCTGCGGAGGGTCAGCTATGGGTCAGTTGGGCCTCAGCACACAACAATATCCTAATTCTTAATGGTCTTACAGAAGAATTCAATAATTTGCTTTTTTGCATTTGGTTGCCTCAGGTTGAACAGAAACCTGGCGAGTGCTGTCTTCTGAACTGCCCTCTGCTAATCACTTCAAGCTCTGACTTGTTATTTAAATATGGCAGGTGATTAGATGTCATGTTTTTGTATAGAGGACAAGGTTTTCTCTTTTAAGACTCACTGATGAGCATATTTCTGTCAGAATCTTTGGTAGGACATTCTCTTCTACCTCCTGACTGGTCAGTGGGTTTCTCAGGCTATAAATCATATGGGAGGAGGTTGTCCATCTTTTTCTTGAAGAGCCACTAGTGGATTCACCTTTGGTTTAGCAGTCCACTTCCCTACAGACTATGCCACCAGAGTGTCTAGGCCAGTTTAAAGAAGTAGTTTTTAATAAGCATTCTGTGACTAATTATGACATATACGTAAAAAGAAATTCATGTGGGAAAGAAAACAGACAAATATTTAAAAATCTGATGGGACAGAATAATGTTAGATTTTTAGAAATACATCACTTTCAAAAAAAATTAAAAAAAAGAAATACATCACTTTCTTAAATCTAGGATAAATGTAATAAAATTTAAGAATTATAGAAACAAAAAAATGTATTGCAGACAAGTAACAGTGACACAGTAAAAGTACAAATTATTAGACTTTTACCAGTCAATATTAAAGCAATAATAAAAGCTCTTTTAGTTTAACTACAGAAGCTAATTTTAAAGTACACATAGGTATATAATAATTTATTTTTAATAAGAATGTGTATCTTTGTGGGTATATATGCATAGGAAAACATCAAGAAGGAAATGTTTGAATTTTCAGTGTCACCTAAGTTGGATTATTTCAGGTTACTTTTTTACTTTTATCTATTAAATTTCCCCCCCAATAAAAGTGTATTTAATGAGGAAAGAAAAGATACTGCTATTTTCTGAAAAAGAAGGCAATGTGGTATATAAACATTTTCTTACATTATAGAAATTGTGCTATAGGTAAGAATATGCTCAGTGTATGAATGTTATAATTATGATGTAGATAAAGAGAAGTAAGTATTAGTGGAAAAGACAAATTTGCCAAGTAAATGTAAGAATTTCCTATATGGGTGCAACCATTATGGAAGGCAGTATAGCGCTTTCTCAAAAAGTTAGAAATAGAAAATACCATTTGACCCAGCAGTTCCATTACTGGGAATACACCCTAAAGAAACCATAACTGCCACCCAAGCAGATATATGCATATCCATGTTTACTGCGGCTTTGTTCACAGTAGCAAAGAGTTGGAAACAACCCAAGTGGCCATCAACAAACAAATGGACAGAGAAGCTGTGGTATATTCACGTAATGTAATACTATGCTGCATTGAAAAACTCATGAAATATTATACAAAATAGGTGACCCTGGAGAACATTATGCTGAGTGAAATATCTCAGCCACAAAAGGACAGATACTGCATAGTGCCATTGTTGTAACATGAGTTGGAATTGACTGGATGGCAGTGGGCGTTTATCAGGTGCTGGCAATTGTGCTAAATGTACCTTGTCTACATGATTTATTGAATCTTTAAACAATTATTTTTTTTCCTCTACAAAAAACTTTTGAAGTAGTTTTTAAGTTTGTCTGTTTTACAGGTTCAACATTTTGTCAAGCTAGTTAATAAAAAAGCTGAATTTCAATTTTGGCTTGCCTCATGTTGAAGTCAAGCTCTTAAGTTATGCATGTTTTATTGCCTCATCTATCATCAAGAGAATAAAACAAAAAGAAGATATCACTCATACTGCCAGGGAATATTTCACTTTTTCCTGAATGTTCATTTTTCTTTTTTAATAATGACTGATGAATGCTTTCATCATTAAAACATGCTAATTCGTTTTCAACTGTGAAATAAGTCACTGATGAATGGGAAGAAATAATTCATGTCAGAATCTCTCAAGAAATGATTCACTGTAAGAAATTAATCTCTTCTGAATTGCAACATGACAGATTAGAAACAAAAGACTGAGTATGACAACTTTCTGTCATCTTAAATAAGGTAGAGTCAAAAAGGTCAGAGAGATCAGGATTCTTAAATATTAAATAAGTTTCATGAAGAAACTACTTCCAGATGTGCAGGCTAGGTTTAGATGAGGCTATGGTACTAGGAATATTATAACTAATGTTAGATAGATATTGGCCAAAAGCAGAGCGTACAAGAGAAATTTGTGTTTAATTGACTATGCAAAGGCATTTGATTGTGTGGATCAAAACAAACTGTGGCTAACTCTGAGAAGAATGGGAATCCTAGAACACTTGATTGTGCTTATGTGAAAACCGACACTTGGACCAAGAGGCAGTAGTCAGAATAGAGCAAGGAAACACTGCATGCTTCAAAATCAGGAAGGGTATACGACAGGGATGCATCCTATCTCCATACTTTTTCAATCTATGTGCCGAACAGATCATCCAGGAGGTTGGTCTCTATGAGGAGGAGAGTGGCATCGGGATCCGAGGAATACTCTTCAACAACGTGCAATATGCAGATAACCTAGCCTTGCTTACTGCAACTTAGGAGAGTCTGAGATATTTGCTGCAGAAGGTCTAGGACTGCAGCTTTCAATATGGATTGAAGCTCAACATCAAGAAAACAAAGATTCTCACCACTGGGCCAAATGGCAGCAGCATGATAGATAGTGAAGTGATTAAGATTATTAACAGCTTCACTTTGCTTGGCTCCACAATCAACACTCTTGGTACTAGAAGCCAGGAAATCAAAAGATGAACTATGCTGGGAAAAGGATAATGATGCCAGTCTGGAGACTAAGGTGTGCCTGATCTGGGCCACAGTCTTCTCAATTGCTTGCTATGCATCAGAAAGGTGGACAATGAGTCAGGATGATAGAAAGATAATTAATGCCTTTAAGCTGTGATGCTAGACTACTGAACACCATGGACAGCTAGGAGAACCCAGGGGTTTATCCTGGAAAGCTAAAACCAGGCTGCTCCTTGGAGTCAAGGATTCTGAAGCTCCATCTGACAAATTTTTGGCATGTTGCAGGGAGGGACCAGTCCTTGGAGTGGACTGATGCCTGGGACTCACAAGCTTGGGAGGGTGGAAGAGGAAGAAGAGAGGAAGAGAGGAAGTCCCTTGAGGAGATGGATTGATTTAGTGACTGGGGGTAGGGGGGTAGGTGTGTTAGAGGCAATAAATCTGGCTCAGGATAGTCAGGGTTCAGAACTGTTGTACAAAAGGTCATTATCGACTTGCAAGTGACTCGAATGAACATAACAATAACACATGAAGAAATCTCTTTCAAATGCACTTATGAATATATATCTCTCTAGAAAAATTCAATAAATAAGGTGGGTGAAAGGTAATATATATTTTGAACAGACTTTAATTAAAAGTAATCAATCAATTTTAATTAGTGCTATATAACAAAACATGCAAAGTAACTGAATGAAATTTTAAGTATAATGTTATCAAACGTGTATGAACAAATGAAAACCATATATGATTGGGTGTCTTTCACCCTAAAATATTAAAAGAAACAATATGTATATGCATGCAAATAGAATCCAAACACTTCTCACTACTACCATGGCTCAAATCCTGCTTCAAGTCACCACTACCTTTAACTCTGCTTGCTGCCAGACCCTTTCAAATCATCTCCTGGCTTCTACTTAGGGTTTGTTTTCTCAACACAGGAGGGAGAGATACATGCTATCCTTTAAGATATTCTCACTTACCTGGCTGACCTTATGTTACCATGACTGCCTTTCATCACTTCATTCTAGTTGCATAGCCAACTTCTTGAAGATGCTTGAACATGTTAGATTTGCTTCTGCTTCAGAATCTTTGTATTGGTTTCCAGTCTAGAAGCCTCTTCCTCCAGACGTATGCATAGCTCACTTCTCATACTTCCAAATTTCGTCCAAATTTTACCTTCTTAATGATGTGTATCTCTTTCATACGCGTTCCAGTCAAATTTACCCTGCTCTACTTTTCTCCTGCTTCCAAGGACATCTCCAAAGGTTTAAGGAGCAATGATATGAGTATAATGACAAAGGTCCACCAGATCCAATCCATGGTCTTTTCAATTATTTGCTATGAATCTGAAAGTTGGGTAATGAAGAACAAAGATGACTGTAGAATTGATGCCTTTGAGCCATGGTGTTGGGAGAAAAATACTGACTATCCCATGCACTGGGAAGAGAATAAATATCTCTCTTTAAAAAAAAAAAAAAGCTCCAGGGGCTCTAGTGGCCTAGTGGCAAAAAAGCTGCCCTGCAATCCCAAAGGTATGCAATTAGAATCCACAGGTTGCTTTGTGGGAGAGGGAGCCATCTCCTGTGTGATCTACTGCTTCTGAAAAGCCTCCGGAGGGTCAGCTATGAATTGGTTCCAAGTAGATGACATACAATAATATCTTCTTTTTAATGATTCATAAACATTTTGTTTCCTTCATGTATACTGCATTTTATACATTTATATCCATTGTATTTTGCCATTAATTCATATTGATCTCTACCTATCTGCCTCTTCAAGTCTCTACTGAAACCCTCCTGTTCCATCACCTCCCCATCCACCTCCTGACCTTTTGTGAGCCTAGTGATTCCACCCCCCTTGCCTTTCCTGCCTACCTTCTCCTCTTCTCTTTTACATTTGAACTAGGTTATACACACCTTGCTCAGTTATCCTCTTCACAATAGGAGGTCTTGGGCAGTATCTGTCCTTTTGTGACTGAGTTATTTCACTCAGCATAATGCATTCTAGAATGCTGCATAGTGTCCCACTGTGCAAGAAGTATCACAATTTCTCAATCTATTTGTTTGCTGATGGGTATTTGGGCTGTTTACTTTTTTTTTTTTGCTACTGTGAATACTACTTCTATGAACATAGCTGTGCGTATCTCCATTTTTGTTTCAGTTATCATTTCCTGGCAGTGTATTCCTAGCAGTGGAACAGGTGGCTCATATGGGATTTCTGTGTTCAGGTTTTTGAGAAAATGTCAAACTACCTTTCATAGTGGCTACACCATTTTACAACCTATTAACAGTGCATAAGAGCTCCAATCTTTCCACATCCTTTCCAACATTTATTGTTTGCTGTGTTAAACTTTGTTACTGGGTTTGCTGCTGGGTGAGACAGTATCCCACTGCTGTTTTGATTTGCATCTCTCTACCAGTGATTTCTAACATTTCATCATGTGTTTGTTGGCCATCTGAATATCCTCTTCTGTGAAATAAAAAGTCTTACCATGCTCTTGCCCATTTCGTGATTGGGTTATCAGTCTTTTTCTTGTGGAGACCCTACAGTATTTGGTAAACTTGAACTTTAGTCATGAACTTGTCTGAACTGCTGTTGCCAAATGCTTTTTCCTAGTCTGTGGGCATTCTTTTCACTTTATTTGGAGACAGTTTTCAATTACACAGGCATTTGATTTCAAGAAGGTCCCATTTGTCAATTTTATCCTTTCCTGGCTGTGCATTTTGGGCTATGTTTACAATTCTAGGCTAGGGCTTCTAAATTTATTCTCACTTTTTCTCTTATGATCGTTATAGTTTTGGGTTTTACCCCTCGGACTTTGATCCACATCAGCTTGTTATTATGTAAAACAAGCATGTCCTGGAGAAAAGTACAGCTAGGGTGCTCACTGGAAGCAAAGACAGCGAAGTTTCATCTCATATACGTTGGGTAAGTTGTTAGGAGGTATTAGTCATTGGTAAAACACATGCTGCTCAGAAAGGAGGAATGTCAGTGAAGAAAGGAAGGTCCTTAGTGAGACGGAGTGACACAATGACTGTAACAATGGGCTCAAGCATATCAGAGATGAAGAAAGAGGCACAGGCTAGGGCAGGGTAGAGCTCTGCTGGTCATGGGGTTCCTGTTAGTTGTAGATAATTTGATGGCATCAACAACTTTTCTCCATACACTTGTTGTTGTGTACCGTCAAGCTGGAACCAACCCATGGCTGACCCTCTGGTGGGTTTTCAGAGGCAGTAAACAGCATCTTTCTCCTGTGGACTAACTAGTGGGTTCAAATGGCGTGCCTTCGGGGTTGCAGCACAGCCTCTTACAACTAAGCCCTCAGAGCTCCCTCCACAGCTTCTTACCACCAGGTGCTCTATGGGACAATGATGGGCACTCTCCTCCCATGCAATTTATTGCCTATAAAAACTCTCTGGAGGGTCAGCTATGAGTTAGTTCTGACTCAATAGTACAGAACAAGAAGAAGATAGAGGGTATTCAATAAAATCTTTAAACTTTATGTAAACAATGACTTGAGTATAAAGTATTTGTACATAAACACAAATGGAAAATAGAAAAATGAGAAAAAAATATATTTTCTATTGCTTTCTCAAATAAAAAACCATGAAACAGAACCAAAGAATATAAAAATTTCATGTAAATTGATAAAGAAAAAACTTTGATTCAACCATATAAGGAAAATATACTAGGAAACTCACAAAAGACAATCAATACAATCATTGAATAATCCTAAAATTCAGTTCAAAATTCACTAGCATCAAGTCAGACCCAACTCATAGCTGACCTTCCACTGGGTTTCAGAGTCTGTAAATCACAAGGGCGGAGACTGTCTATTTTTCTCCCGAGGAGACCGATGGATTTGAAGCACCAGAGAGGTGCAGCTTTTGAGTCGTAGTGGAACTCCCACCAGAGCTTACAAAATAAGTATTACTGAAATTCAACCTTATTAGGAATCAAATAAATAAGAAATGGATGAACACTGGCATGGAAGATAGGAAAGCACACTTTCACGTGATCCTGGTAGAGAGAGAATGCAAAATTACTCCAAAAACAATTGGGCAGTATCTTTTGACCTAAATATCATTCATTTCTGGAAATAAATCTCAAAGAATTAAAGATAGCTTTGTAAACAAAGATATTCATTATTACTTTATGGAAAATGGTGAATTAAATTATTAAAGATAAATTCATAAATACACTGATATTCTTAGTGGGTAGGTGGTGGCTTAAGGGTCTCTGGTGGCTTAATGGTAAGGAGTTGCACTTCCCACCCAAAGGCACATGGTTCGAATCCACCAGCTGATCCATAGGAGAAAGATGGGCGATGACAGTAACAGTTTCTGAAAACCCACTGGAGGAGTCAGCTATGAGTTGGTTCTGACTCATGGGTACTTACTCAACAGCAGCACTATGCATCCACTTCATAGAAAGTTTTATAGCTATTGAAATAATATTTATGAAGAGTAAGTAACAACACGGGAATATTTACTATAAAGTTAAGTAAAATAAATACAGGGAATAAAAAGAATACATTCTGTATGGTAAAACCAAAAATTATACACATACCTGTACATGGGAACAATACCAGAAAAGTTCCAATATATTAGGTTTGGTATTTCTGCATTAATCATATATTATTGACTCATGGTCCTCTAGTCAATTCCAACTCATAAAGACCCAATATGGGGTTTCTGAGGCTTTAAATAAAATGTTACTAAGAGAATCGGCTTATCTTTCAGTGGTGGAGGTGGTGGTTTTGAACTGTCAGAGACATGCAGCCTTTTGATTATAGACTTGGTATTTAGTTAGATTTTTTACATTTTCAGTGAGATGAAGTGTTCTTGAATTTCATCATCAGAAACCTGTTAGATAAGCATGTTTTCAGACCTTACACCAAACCTCTAAATAAAAATTCTGAAAGTGGGGCTCAGTCATCTGTGTTTTAACAAATGTTCCAAGTAATTCTGAAACACACTAAAGTTTGAGATGCAACACTGAAAAAAAAAAAAGCTAACAAGGTCTTAATAAAAATATTAACTTACCATTCATCTGTAAAGTTCAGTTTAATTGTGCTTGTAGTTGTTCCTTCTGTGCTGTAGTGCAAACTTAAAACTGGTTCACCTGTCCCTGGTTTGGGGCTCAGCCTTTCATTACTGTTATCTGAAAATTGTGTTTAAAACATTTGAAAAGTTCTGAAACTAGTAAAAACAACTGACATTTCTTAACACTTATAAAACATATATCAGTTTGCTTTTGTCCAAATTCTTTCTTACATACATGATTATTGCTTACAGTGTGAACAAGTGCTAGAGACACGCTTCCTAGTCAAAAGTGGCATTGTACTGAGTCTGGCTTTATGTACATGACTCCCTGTGATTTAGATGAGAATAACACATATTTGAGAGTCACAGTCATTAAAGTATCAAAGAATATTCACAGACATGACATTTGTTATGAACCTTCCCCTATAAAATGCTCCTGATTTTATTCTTCTGTTGCTGCAGCATCAAGAAACACTGCAAAGATGTAAAGGATTCAAAACAAGTGTTTCAGAAAAAAAACACAAAATGCTAGTATTAGATATTATTCAATTCTTTCTGTTTTAAAGTTTATAGACTTTTTTTTTAAGTGCATAGACTTTTAAGGAGAGATTATAATCTGTATTCTAGGGGTTGTTGTTGTGCTACATTAAAAAACTCCTCTATTATAAGACCATGTATTTTGGTATAGTTTGGCTTACTCTCCTCACTAATCTTGCAAGGGATTTGCTTTCATTATTATGGAAAAGGAATTTCATTTTAAGAGTTCTCTAGGGGATTCCCATCATACTTCTTACATATATAATATACATAAGTAAATACAATAAAGATAATGCTATAAAAATTGATATAGACCACTTAAAAGCCTCTCTCTCACCAAAGGGAAAAAAAACCCATACACAACCAATATAAAAATAAACAGAACGAGTGTACATGGATGCTCAAAGACAAAATAGGATTTTAAGTATTTTCCTTTCATAACAGCATGTTTAAAGATGAAAATACACAGAGAATACAAATGGACACAAAATTAAATAGGAAACATTTCCTGCCAGGTTGCTTCAAGAAAACTCTCCCTTTTTATAATAATTTTCTTAATATCAGTTCAAAGATTGCTATGATAGCATTACAAGTAACCTTCCTTTCTCGAAAATGATAAAAAACTGTTACCAACTTAGTAGTCAAACTTACTCAGGCTTTTTAAGTTCTTCATACTCAGCTCACTGCCAATGCCTAGAAGGTTATTACATTGACTATATATTGCAGTGAAGGACCGATTCTTTATAGTTTCTTGGAAACTATGAGAACACTTATTATAGGAGATCTCTCTCATAAAATGTCTACCCTACTTGTATCCCGTGAGGCTAAAATTAGCAAGACTTTAAATAAATAAAACAAAGAGTAAGAACAAATGATGACCCGAGAACCAAGCTGATAACAAAATTCAGGAGAACCATCACTTCTAATTTATGAGAAATTCAGTCCGTAACAATAATTTGTAACTGGAAGTAAAAGAAGGAACTATAAAGCTTGTACTCCAAACAGTAAAATCACATCCTAAATGATTTTTGTAATAAATATGTCCCTGTTAAAGGCAGCTGCTAGAAATAAATTTAATAATCCATTACAACTTTCAATGATACACCATTATGTTCAGTGTTCTGGAGGAAGCATTTTACAAAATGGGATTCTGATAAAGTAACTGAATTAGAGACCTTTCATTAGCTTGCACAAAAACTAACAAGAATAGGCCTTTTAAAACACGTTTCACTCTTAATTATCTTTGAAAAACTTGCTGTTTGCTAATCATTCCCCTACATACACTTTTCCCTCTTCTCTAGTTCCCACTGCTACCAAAGTGACTGTCACTTTGAAATGGCAGAGACAAGAAAGCTGAAAAATAGATAAGCAAGGAAACTGGGAGGCATTTTCCCTTATAACATTTTACAAAGTGCTTTGCTATTCACTTCTTTTTTTTTAAAGTAAATAAGGAACAGAAAGTTAAACGCAGGTATGAGAATTTCAGGACCGAATTTTTAAGGTCCATTTTAGCTTACAAAACTTGAGTTTTAAAGAAATCTTTTGGAATTTATTGAGATTTCCCTGTTGAGTGAGTTTAAAGAAAATACTATTGATATTTGTGTTTTCTGACTACAGGAATATTGTGAGTGGGAAAGGTTTAAAAAAAATCAGCAAAGTGTAGAAAACATTTAAATTTTACAGCTCTTCCTTGCAAAAAAAAACCAAACAAGAAGCTTCTTGAAATAGCCACTTGGAAGTTTCTTTAGAAAATTATCTATTAAGTTCTTGTTTAATTTATTACGCTGCGTATTGTGTAACACAGTAATATTCACTTACTCTAGAAAATGCTTTATTATAGTTGATGGAATTTATTCATTTAAGTTGGCAATGAACTCACCAGCCTTGTATAAAACAGTCCCATCATTATACAAAAAAAGAATGGTCTCCTGTTTCTTACAAATACTTCAGATCCCTGAGTCATTATTTCCTCTTAGACAATAAGTAAATTAACAGTGCCTCTGGCAAAACACTATACAATGCAGAACTTGGTTCTTAGAGTTGGATATTAATGCCAAGGGACAAATATCTCAGTAGCAGAACTCATTTCTAAAGCGTGTTCCTTTATACACTCTGCCTAGTTTGATCCTCCTGTGTATGATTATATGCAATCTAATAAGTTAGATTTTCTCTGAATATAGGTTTTTAAACTAATAGTATATACATTTGCCATCTGTATATTCACCAAGTACATATTAAGTTATAAGTAATAGTATTCTTTAAAGATCTAAGCATTTCAATGTTTTTTATTATGGGAGAAAAATTACCTGTAACCATTCTAAGTTGTCCTTGTTGGTGTTGTTGAGTCGCTTATGACTCATAGTGACCCTATGTAAAATGGCTCTAAACCTTCCTCTATCCTCTGCCTATTTTATTGTCTCTGACACATCTACCCTCATTACCCCAGTCACTGAATCAATCCATTTCATCAAGGGTCTTCCTCTCTTGTGCTGTCTCTCTACCTTCCCAAACATGATGTCCTTCTCCAAGGACTGGTCCCTCCTTGCAACATATCCAAAGAGTATATCAGACGAAGCTGACATCGATGTTCTTCAGTACTTTCGAGAGGTTTCTGATAGCAGACTTTCCCAATGCAATTCATCTTTAATTTCCCGGCTGCTGGTACTAAGAGTATTGATTGTGGAGCCAAGCAAACTAAAGCGGTTAACAATCTCAATCTCGTCACCATCTATCATGATGCTGCCAACTGGCCCAGAGGTAAGAATCTGTTTTCTTGATGAACTTTAATCCATATTGAAGGCTGCGTTTCTTGACCTTCTGCAGCAAGCACTTCAGGTCCTCCTCAGTTTCAGCAAGCAGGGTTGTATCATCTGCATAAAACAGATTGTTGATGACTCTACCTTCAATCCTGATGCCAAATTTCTCATCATAGAGCCCAGCCTTTCAGATAATCTGTTCTGCATATAGATTGAAAAGGTATGGAGATAGGACACATCATTGACACACACCGCTCCTAATTTTGAACCATGCAGTATTTCCTTGCTCTATTCTGACGACTGCCTCTTGGTCCAAACATAGGTTTCACACAAGCACAATCAGGTGTTCTGGGATTCCCATTCTTCTCAGGGTCAGCCACAGTTTATTGTGATCCACACAATGAAATGTCTTTGCACTGTCAATGAAACACAGATAGACATTTCTCCGGTACTCCCTGCTCTCAGTCAAGATCCATTTAACGTTAGCTATAATATCCCTGGTACCATGGCCTCTTCAAAACCCAGCCTGAACTTCAGGCAGTTCTCTGCTCATGTGATGTTCCAGTGATTCAGCAAAATCTTGCTTGCACGTGATATCAATGATATTGTTCAATAATTCCCATTCTCTGTCGGGTCCCTTTTCTTTGGAAAGTGAACAAATATAGATCTCTTCCAGTCAACTGGCCAGGTGATTATCCTCCATATTTCTTTGCACAACTTAGCACATCCATGGCAGCATCTGTTTGCTGAAATATGTCATTGGTATGCCATCAATTCCTGGGGCCTTGTTTGTTGCCAAATCTTTCAGAGCAGTTTGAACGTCTTCCTTCATCACCACAGGCTCTTGCTCATACATTGTTTCATGAAATTTTTCTGTGTCCACCAATTCCTTTTGGTACAATAACTGTATACTCTTTCCATCTCCTTTTAATGCTGCCTGGAGCATTTAATATTCTGCCGAAAGCATCCTTAAGTATTGCCAATTCAAGGCTCGAATTTTCCCTTCAGCTTAAGAAATTCTGAGCAAGTTCGACCCCTTTGATTTTCTGATTTCAGCTCTTTGCACATTTCATTGTAACACTCTTTATCTACCTTCTTCTTCTTTTTTTTTTTTTGCTAGAAGTGGAATCCACAAACATAAATGTTGTACTTGAAAGATTTACGTATGTAATGCTCAGATATTTATCACTAAAATATTCTGCTTCATAAGTTGAGGCTTTTATTCAAGAGCATTAGAATTCAGAACGTCACTTATCCAGCAATCTAACTACTGCTTATTGAGTGTCACCATGAACTAGGTAGGTCCTATCAAAATCTGTTTTAAATTTCATTATCTCCATTTTACAGAAGATGAAACTACTAATTAAGAGCTAGTTTTTGTTCTAATTACTAAGGTATCTTCATATCAAGTTCCTACTTACCACCATACTGTCTTGGAAATGAGTTGAAAAAAAGGAGAAGAATAAGATTGCTTTAAAAAGCAACTCTCTTAATCAGTGCACACCAATAGCTGGTGTTATTATTCCTCTGAAATTATGTATAGAATTCAATCAGTAACATTTTTATTTTTATCACTTTGGCATTAGAGTATTAACCAACTATGCTATACCTTTTTCTGAGCAATTAAAGAGAAGTTTCGTTCTGCTCTTAAAATTTCATAGAGCATTTTATTTGTGGACCAATTTGATGGGAGAGTAAAAAGAATTACTTTTATTTGTTCAACACTTCCAAGTTTTTGTGTGGATACACTATACTACATACAAATTTTAAGTGTTTATGAATGGGTATTATGGTTATGACAAGAGTCCAGAATGAAGGCTGCATA